CTTGTACACACGTGTGAGCACAGGTACACACACACGTGTGAGCACATACACACGTGTGAACACACACTTGGTTACATCGGAGTGATGCGTGTCAGCAACTCAGGGGTCCTAGTGATCATTGCACTTCGTGTGGAGATGGAATCCCTTGTGATCATTGCGCTATGTGCAAAGGGCATGATAAGTGTCCCTGTCAATACCACAGTGCGGAGCAAGGAGAAACAAGGGAATAATTCCCCTGGGTCAACCGCTGTATTGTGCAAATAAACGTTTTGTCCATTGTTTAAATTGCATGGATGTTCTTAGAAAAGGGGGGGTGGCGGAATAGGTAACTCAGAGATATGTCCTGTTGCAGAACGTTGTGAAACCTGTGCGCTGAACAAAGAAACACCTAAGGAGTGGAATTTATGGGGGCTAAGATGGCGGTCAGACTTGTGAAAGACATAATATTTCTTCACCCAGAGACCAGACCCCAGCAACAGGTGGAGAAGCCCGGGAAAAGAAGACAACAGGATTGGCTGAAACCCAAGAAGCCCGGGAACCAAAAAGTATAAGAGACTATCCCCAGCAGTTCCCGGTGTGCGTCTCGGGCGGGGCGGAGGCTCCCGGGGCAGCAGGTGCTGCTTGCTTATTGTCTCTCCATATTTATAATAAAAATCGATTAAAACAGATTGGCTAGATTTTTATAACAATTCTGGACTGATCGACCCTGACAGAGAACCTGACCTCTATCCCACTGACAGTCATGATATGTGGAAAAACATTGAAAAAGAAGTGAAAAATCAAGCTGCTGTGAACCTGCCCCAAAACCCGAATGCTCCACATCCTGTCCGTCACAGGGCAAACCGCATGCGCAGTTGCAGGAGTTCACGGAAATACTAATTCTCATACGAAGCGGGGACAGGTTATGAATGCGTGTAGCAGCTCTCATGAATACGTAACCCCAATGCTATGTATGTTGGAAGGACGGGCGCCTGCGGCATGCACGACTTTGGTGGGCTAGCCCCGTGGTGCCCAGCGCTGAAGAAACATGCCCACTTTACAACCCTCATGGGCTCATTGGTTGTACAGGCCTTTCTCCGCACGTCAGCGGCTCCCCTCCGGCCGAGGGGCTGCGCCTGGAGGCAGCGGGACAGGGAGCTGCGGAGCACGGGCGCGCCGCCTCCACCTCCCTCACTTGCACGGCGGCAGCAGCAGGCTCCGGCGGGCTCCCCCCATTGCCCGCCCGCCCCTGGCCCTTGTGTGCTCCGGCAGGCACGGGTTGGCGCTGCGCCCGCCGAGATGCGCGCGGCGGGGGGTCCACTTCTCCCGGCGAGAGGCGGGGGGAAACCCAGCCTCTGCCCCGGAGGTTTTACACCCGCAACAACAGTCTGTTAACAGAGAACGACTCGGTCCTCACACGTGTCAATTCCTTCTCCAACCTCGCACACCCTCGCAACGCTGCAGGGTGCCAGAGCAGCTCTTGGACCGTTTGCTCTGAGCAGGGTTTTCCACAGCTCTTGGACCCTGTTCTCCCCAGAACACGCTGCGGCAGGGATGCAGCCGTGCACCCAGCACCTCGCTGACACTGACGTGCTTTGCTCATAGGGCCTCCAGGCACCGCGTGGGTTTGCTCTGAAGAGCAGGGCAGGGCTCCAGAAGGTGGAAGAAGTCTCCAGTCTCCAGAAGTCTCCAGAAGACTCCAGAAGTCCATCAACTCCCAGGACAACACAACAGTTTTATTGGTCTAGAATGCCCGGTCTAAACGTAATCTTCTTGTCTAATCTGAACCTACTGTGTAATCTCAACCTGATGTTGAATCTAAACCTAATGCGAAATCTAAACTCACGTTAAAACGAATGATGTTTTGTACAGGAGAAATGATGGCACCCTCTCTCTCCTTCCTGCTGTGCCCTGCTCCCACCCATGGGTCTGAACCAGGAGCCACGCCACCTGCTCAGCACAGGACGAGCGCTGGATGGTGCTGGGGCCTTGCTCTGAGCTGTTTTACGGGGCCACCCGCAACAACAGTCTGTTAACAGAGAACGACTCGGTCCTCACCCGCGTGTCGTGAACCCTCCTCAGCAGTCAACCATTGTGCTGAGGCTGGAGAACCTCCATGTATTTTACTGCCCCGAGGAAACTCAGGGTTGTTCACTGCTGCAAGTTATGCAGGTGGCGGTGATCCCGGGAAATAAAGGGTTAACATTGTGCCTGCTTGCTTAAGCAGTCGCTGTGCTTGGTGGAGCAGAGCCATAGGAGGCAAAGTCACCAGAATGGTGAAGCAGAATTGTAGGAGTTAGAGCTGCTAGGCAGAATTGTAGTAGATAGGATTCATAGCTTAATATTTAAGATGTTATCAATATTGTAGCCAATTTCGGTTTAAAGTATAAGTTTTATTAAACCGAGTAAGCGATAGCAGATAAAACAGCGCTGGATGCTCCGGGGAGTCCTCTCCTCTGCCCAAGCCACGCACATGCGGTCCCTGGGAGGTGGTCCTTTATCTTTTTCGGTTCAAGGCCCCAGCCAATCCTGTCGCCCCTCCTCACTCGGGTGTTGACATGGCTCTTCCCCATTGGTTCCCTATGTTGCAGGGGGTCTCATTACCGAGAAGTTTCGGGAAGTTCCGAGAAGCTCCCAGAGGCTTCTAGAAGCATCCACATCCAGCCTCCTCACCCTCGCATCCCCCTCCCCTCAAGCGTTGCAACAAGACACCACTTCGAGCCACCCAGCCCCCCTTTTCTCTCTCACAATCCTGTGCAACAATACAACTGACCTACCCCCATTACTTACAGAGTACACCGGTTACAGAATCAAAAAGGAGTATTGTTTCACATAAGACAGCCACAGAGAGCCTCCCTCTCCCCAAACTTCTTGATGAACAAACCCCACACATTACAATTCCCCCCTTTTTCTTTTCATCATTTTTGTTCATCAAATCGTTGTAACACATCTTAACCACAATGAATTTTCTTGTTCTACAGGTTCCTGTTTCGTTCCTATCAGCATTAGGTGAGCTGCTTCGAGTCTACCTCGTGCAATGTCTAATGTTTTATTAAAAATACATGGTCCAAATGTTAATCCCAATATAATTAATATCAGGGGACCTGCTATTGTTGACACTAAGGTTGTAAGCCAGGAGGATTGACTAAACCAAGATTCATACCAACTGCGTTGTGCCTCTCGTTCTTTTCGTTTTTTTTCCAATCCCTCTCGTAATTTGGTCATAGTATCCCGTGCCACCCCTGTGTGATCTGCATATACACAGCACTCTTCCTTAAGTGTACAAGTGTGTACATGTGCTCACACGTGTGTACAGGTGTGTACATGTGCTTACACGTGTGTACGTGTTTACACTTGTGTACACGTGTGTACATGCGCTGACACGTGTGTACAAGTGTGTATATGTGCTCACACTTGTGTACAAGTGTGTACATGTGCTTACACGTGTGTACAGGTGTGTACGTGCTTACACGTGTATACAGTTGTGTACATGCGCTGACACGTGTGTACAAGTGTTTACATGTGCTCACACGTGTGTACAGGTGTGTACATGTGCTTACACGTGTGTACGTGTTTACACTTGTGTACACGTGTGTACATGCGCTGACACGTGTGTACAAGTGTTTACATGTGCTCACACGTGTGTACAGGTGTGTACATGTGCTTACACGTGTGTACGTGTTTACACTTGTGTACACGTGTGTACATGCTCTGACACGTGTGTACAAGTGTTTACATGTGCTCACACGTGTGTACAGGTGTGTACATGTGCTTACACGTGTGTACGTGTTTACACTTGTGTACACGTGTGTACATGCGCTGACACGGTTGCACATGCGCTGACACGTGTGCAGGTGGCTCTATGCGCTCGCGCAGAGCATGACGCGGCCGTGGCCCGGGGACTCACCCCGTGTGCGCGGTGACGTCAGGAGGGGCGGGGCGTGCGCTCTCCCGGCGAGGCCGGTACTTCCGGGTGCCCCGGCGGCGGCGCGGAGCCGGTGAGCGGGGCTGGTGCGGGGCGCGCAGGGATGCGGCGTGGTGGGGTCTGGGGGGCAGCAGGGACACGGAGGGCTGGGGGGTGCAGGGGTCTCTGGAGCCCGATCCGTGCGTGCCCCCCCGGCCGTGGGCCAGCCAGACCCCACACGCATGGGGCAGCCCTGCCCTGCCGGCAGCCTCAGCCCCACCCTGAGCCCCCCAGGGTGCGGGGTGCCCGCGCTGTGGGTCAGGTGCTCCTTTGCAGGGGCGCCCGGGGGTGGGGGTGTTGATGGTGTCTGGTCCTCGACCCGCTCCCTCCAGTGCTCACACCGGGAACCTCTCCACATTGTTCCTCCCCACAGACCTGATCCCGGAGGTCCCAGCACCAGGGGCATCCCTCCCGCTTCCTCTGGGTTCTTGTTCACGGTGTTCCCGATAAATCGCTCTTTCTCACTTAAAATGAGCAGCTTCAAACAAGCTCCAAGTGGTTCTTGTGTCCAGAAACAGAGGGGTTAAACACCCGGTTCTTGTTTCCAGAGAGCCCCGGTTCCGCCGTCGAGGGATGCGAGTTCCCAGCGTGTCAAATGGCCACAGGACCAACCGGGAAGTGCCAGCACCGGGCACCCCAAGCCGCGCAGAAGCTGGGGATATAACCACGGGAGCACCGTGCAGCAGCGCGCCGGGGGGGTCCCAGCACGCCTCGCCCTTGCCTGGCGGCTCTGGCGGCTGCAGCGCTGGGGAAGGTCAGCCCCAGCCTCCCCTGCCCACCAGGGCCTGGCACAGGAGCAGCCAGCAGCCGGGCACAAATCCTCCTTCCCCCGTGTCTGAGGCACCAGATCCTGCCCTTGGCGGCAGCGCTGGGGGCTTAGCGGCTGCTTTCCCTCTGCGGCTGCTCCTGTCTGTGGTGCCGCGGGGCAACACCTTGTTGTGGTTCATCAGCAGAGACCCTTCTCCATCCACCATCAGGTTGGTCAGCAGCAGGGAGATGCTCCCGTGGGGAAGTGGGTGGTGTGTTGGTCCCCATCCCTCGCACAGTGCCAGCATTCCGGTGGTGGGAATCATGGCTGGGTGCAGAGGAGCAGCTGAGGTTGGACTGAGAGGGTCCTGCCACTGCTCTGAGCCTGCCCTGACCCTCGCTGGATGATATCCAGGAGGTTTTATCCCACAGCAAGGCAATCCCCTGGTCGTGGCAGCTGATTTTCCTGCTCCCAGGCTGCTCCTGCTTGGAGTCAGCTTGTATTTAAGTGTGGCTGGGTGTGCATGGGCTCAGGAGGGGAAGGCAGAAGCTGGGTAGGAGGAGAGAGTTGTTCCAGTCCTGGCCCTTGGACTCAGGATGCCATCCAATCCCTCGTTCCCTGGGGCAGAGGGTGACTGGTGCAGTTCTCGTGCTTGGAAAATGACTGGCTCCATGTCCAGGCCTTGAGTCACTGGCTCCTGCCATCGTGGGCTGGTGTTTTCCACTGGCAGACCACGAGCACTGACCTGCTGCTTATTTATAGCTCAGTGTTGTTGTGGGGACTGTGAGGAGCCAGGACGGGGTCTCTGCCTCTCCTGACACAAGGCTTCATTCCAGCAAAGCCCTCCCAAAGGACCAGGCTGTTAGGAGCAGCTCTGCTCTCGCTCCAGTGCCTCTGCTCCCTGGTAGGTTGAACCGCTCCGGTTTGCTGCTGGTTTCTCTTGGCTTCACTTGAGCTGTTGGCTCTGCCTGCATGGCCTCCGGTGTGGTGACGGCTGGGAAGGGACGTGGGGCTTTTCCTGCTGTAGCTGTGCTTGCCTGGGCATTGGCACATCCATCCCATCCCGTCCCTATTCCGTCCCAGATCACCAGGAGCAGCTGGGGCTTTCCAGAGTGTGCTGGAAGTGCTCTGGAGCAATCCAGTTGTGGCGCCAGCACTGCTGGTGCCATTCCCTGTGTCCCACCAGCCTTGGGATGGCTGAAATTCCCCTCAGAGCTGGTTCCTCGCCCTTGTAATTCAGGAAAATGCTGTCCCAGCAGGAGTGGTGCCATGTGGATTTGCGATGCTGGGACAAACTGGTTGGACTGGTCGTGGTGGGAGTGGAGAGTCCCATGGTGGAGGTGGTGGGTGTTAGGAAAACCGCAAATGGTTTGGGTTGGAAGGACCTTGAAACTCATCCAGTCACTTGGGTGTCTCCTGAAGCCCCCAGCAGCTCCTCGAGCCCCTGAGCAGGGGTCCCACTCCTGTAACCGCTGTGCTCCCCATTCCTGTGTCGCAACCCAAAGAGAGGAAATCTCATGATGAGTCCTGGTGAAAAGAGTTTCCTTTCATGGGAACTCGTCTGTGAACTCCGGGAACACGGAGGATCTGTCTGGGTTTATCCACACAGAGCTCTTCACCGGCTGGTGCGGGGCACGTGTGGGGTGCTCCGGATTTGGGCTGCTCTGGACTGGGAGCGCTGCTGCTGCCTTCGGGACCAGCTGTGGCCATGTGGGAGCTGCTCTGCAGATGTGTTTATGCCCTGGTTCGACCGCTCATGGGGCAGGGAGAGGGGCAGGTTGAGGCTTCAGCTCCAATGTGGGGAAAGCTTCAGGCCCGATGTGTTGGCTTGGAAACAGCAGTGTCACTTCCAAGGGACACCTGGAAGTGTCGGTGTCACACCCAGACCCTGCGGTGAACTGCTGGGCACCTCCTTCTCCATTTGGATGGCAACGGGCTCCAACTGAAGGGAGTCAGTTCCTTCTCCAACCTCGCACACCCTCGCAACGCTGCAGGGTGCCAGAGCAGCTCTTGGACCCTGTTCAGCCCCAGAACACGCTGTATTGGAGCAGGGATGCAGCCGTGCACCCAGCACCTCGCTGACACTGATGTGCTTTGCTCATAGGGCCTCCAGGCACAGCTTGGGTTTGCTCTGAAGAGCAGGGCAGGGCTGCAAAAGGCAGAAATCAAAGTTCCCTTGTGTGCTGTGACCCTGAAGCGTGGCTCAGGTTCTGCCATGGTTTCCCAGGAAGACACTGGTTTTGTTCTTTTTCCGACCAAACCCAGCTGCAGCAGAGCAGCCCTTGGGAATGGGGTGATCTTGGGGTTCATCTGCCTCTGAACGGAGTGACTGCAAACCTGATGGGGAGCCTGCATCCTTCCTTCCTTCCTATTTTCCCAGACAGCTCTGTGCCATGGGATGAGCACCTGGGCACCTCCAAGGGGGTCACAGAATCCCAGCCTGGTTTGGGGTGGAAGGGACAAGCAGGGACACCTTCCACTGGAGCAGCTTGCTCCAAGCCCCTGTGCCTTGAACACTGCCAGGGATGGGGCAGCCACAGCTTCTCTGGGCACCCTGTGCCAGCGCCTCAGCACCCTTGGTCTCACCCTGGGTCCATCCCCACTGGCTTCAGCAGTAGCATCGGTCTCATGAGTTCCAGAGAGCTGAGCTCCCATTGCCTCTGCCCGGGGTCTGCTGGGCAGTGACTGCCTCTGTCCAGGCCACCTTCATGCTGTTCCCATGGTTTGAAGTGCTGTCATACAGGCTCAGTTGCTAAGCGCCTGGTTTGGTTCCCTTGGTGGCACCTGTTCATTGCAGGAGGTGTAGAAACAGAAGGAAAACCATGGCCCTGTGTGCTTCACTGCTTGCTTGACTGCCCTGGCGTCTCCCCCAGGTTGAGGGCAGCTTCCAGGGGATAATTTACTCCCTCTTGGTCTCTTGGCTATGCTCTGTGCTCTGTTTTGCCTGACCCCCTCCTCGTCGCGGGGAAGCGTGGTGTGTTTCAGTGTGTGGTTGGAAGTGGGTCGGTCCCAGCAGCATCCTGGCTGTGAGCGCTTGCAAAATCCCTTGGTGGAGGATCTGTGCCTCTTGTGGGGCAGGCATGGGAGGTGTCAACCACAGGGGTGCTCAAACGTTCCTCCTCCTTGTCCCAAAGGTGACATGTGAAGGCACCGCCCGGCACAGGGAGCGGCAGCAGCTGAGATGCATTCGAGCCACACTGATGACCCCAAGGAAGCCATAGAGGTGAGTGAGGCACCCCAGTGCTCCCACACAGCGCCAGTTCCTCCCCAGTGAGACTCCAGTTACCAGCAGGGTCATGGTGGGACCTGTGGGTGCTGCCAGCTGGGATTGGGATGGGTTCTATGGGCAAAGGTGGCTCCTGCTTTGCAGGAGAGAGGATCCGTGGTGGTTTGTCTGGTGGGAGGGTCAAAGAAATAGGGCAGCCACGAGTTAAACCACACCAGGCTCCACCTTGGGCTTTGCTTCTCGTGGCAGGACCCAGCAAGGGCCGGGGGCAGCGCTCAGCACTGGTGCCTGGGGGAAGCAGCGTTGCTGCTCCCTGCATTTGCCGTTTCCTTCCCCAGGTCTGGGAGTCTGAACACGTTGTCAGGAGCCAAGTTCAAACCCCGCGGTTCTCCCCGGTGTTCCCTTCACCCCCAGCAGTTAATTCCTGTGCGGCAGATGAGATCAGTGGCACTCTTTAATCCTGGGAGCCCACGTTTGCTGCCTGCGGGAGGCTGGCTGGTGCTGGCAGCAGAGCTGGGGGGTGTCTGGCAAACAGCCCTGCTCCAAGGGGCGCCCCTGATGCGAGCAGGGACAAGGTGCATGTTCTGGCTGTTCCCCTTGAGCTACAGCTGCTGGGAAAGCAACAAATATCCTGGGCTGGAAATAGAACCTGGGTTTGTGCAGCCAAGCCAGGCTGGAGTCACAGCTCTGCTCTGCCCCAGGCGCATGGAATGCTGCGTGGGGGGTGTTGAAATGGGGCTTGTTAGTGGGATCCTGGCTGGATTCACAGTGTTTACCAAATGCCTGCTGGGAATTGCAGCTTTCCTTTTCAGTGAGGTTGATTGAGACACCCGGGCTCAGCTGCACTGAGGAGAGAATCCTCTCCACCAGCATCAGATTGTGAAACTCCCTGCGCTTGCTCTAGCTGGTGCGAGACAGGGGGAGGCAGAGCTACTGGAAGGGAAAATTCTCATGTCCCAGCTTCAGAGCCTCTCTGAAGGCAGCAGCTAAACCCCAGCCATCTTTCCAAAAGCATCTTTTGGGGGGAGGGCCTGTCCCCAGTAGCACCAGGGGGTTGATGAGCATAGCCAAGCTGCTCAGAGCACTGGTGGGATCGATGGCTTTGATTCCTGCCCATGGGACTTGTTAGAGCATCACGTGCTGCTTGTGCTGATCTGCATGAGTTCAAGTCCTATCCCAGCCCTTGCTTCCTCCTTTTGGTTTCTGTTTTCTCACCCGAGCTTATTTAATCTGTGCTTCCCTGAGCAAGTGTATGGAAGGAGCCAGTTTCTCCCTATCCCAGAGAAGCTGTGGCTGCCCCATCCCTGGCAGTGTTCAAGGCCAGGTTGGATGAGGCTTGGAGCAAGCTGCTCCAGTGGAAGGTGTCCCTGCCCATGGCAGTGGTTGGAACTGGAGTTGCTTTAAGGTCCCTTCCAAGACAAACCAGGCTGGGATTCGATGACTCTTCAGCAATTTGGTGTCTGCAGGGGAAGCATCACACACTCTAAAGGCAATCCCAGCAAGCCCATGGGCTCCAAACCACCAGCCACAGTTGCACAAATTACTCTGATTACAAACTAAAGCCAGATGAACTGTGATGCCACGAGGCGAGTCCCCAGCTTGAGCAGTTCAGTTGTGGTCCTCCCTAACAGTCACATGGTGCTTCATTTTGGATAAGCCTTGTGGTTTTGCAGGCCTTTTATATGAAACCTTCCTTAATACTTCCTTTTTTTTAAGCCAAGCTTGTACCTCCTGTCTTGCAGCTGATCAAGAAGCAGCTGGTGAACGCCATCAAGGCGCTGCAGAAGCAGTACGTGACCTCAGATGCTGTTGTAACCAGTGATGATGGGAATGCCAACACCCTGTGCAGTGCTCTGGAAGCTGTCTTTGTGCACGGGCTGAAGGCAAAGCACATCAAGACAGAGAGTGGGGGGAAAGGGAAGAAAACAGGGAGTCGGGCACCACTTCCCCAACCGGTCTTCTGGGATCTTTTGAAGAGCATCACCCACCGGTGAGTGCGCATCCCTGCCCAAACAGGGTTTGTACTCTCAGGTTTTTCCCCTCTCCTTGGGGCAAAAGCCACAGCATTCAGGGAATGGCCATCAGGAGGATGGCTCAGTGGAAAGATACGTGTCCACCCATCCCGTGTGCTCAGTCCCTTCACATGCTCTCCCAGGGTGTCTTGGCATCACAATGATGCCGAGCTGGGCACCCTTTTCTTATGTTTGGGTGCCAGGCTGTGTAGGGGACTCAGTGTCCCCAGTGGGACCCGGTGGCAGCAGCAGTAGGTTATGAGATGCATAGCGCAGGGTCTGGTCTCTCTTTGGAGATGGTTGTCCTCAATTTCCCCATGTCCCAACCAGCCTTTGAGGGGGTCTCACCTCAGTACCTGTCATTTGGTGGGGGATTTCTGAGCCACTCCCTAAGCAGAGTCCTCCCACACACAGAGAGTTTTGAAAGCCTCGTCCAACTTCATCACCGACTCATAAATTATAGAAGAGTGGATGAAAATAACTCTTCCACATGCTGCGGGGATATTTTGGGGGATATTTTTGTGCCCTTTGAAGGTGTTTTTCTCTTCCTTGAGAAACAGATCTAAAAAAATAATTACGATACTTTTGTTCTGGTTTTTGAGGCATCTGGGACCAGGGAGGATTGGGGAGTGTGGTGTTGCTGTTGGATTGTAGGGGGGGAATGGCTGAATTGAGGAGGTTGAGGTTGCTTGAGTTCAGCCTGACCTGGTTAGGGTTTTTTTTTGAGATGCCACAGCAGTTTTCTCTGTGTTTTGGCTGACTTTAAATGTGAAGCTGGGCTTTGTCACCATGAGTATCCAGCCAGAGCAAGCCCCACCAATGTGCAGGAACAATGGGAATTTCCCCCTCTGCATCCTTGTTTCAGGGGGATGCCTTCAGCCAGAGAGGACAAGCACCCAGAGGTACCCCAGGGGTGCCTGTTACCAATATACTTAGCTTTGGAACTAGATGATTTTAAGGTCCTTTCAAAGCCTAACCAGTCTGTGATTCAGAAGCTCTTTTTCCTTTGTGGGGAACCATGTTTTCCATGAAGGAGAGAGATTTTCCACAGACCTGTTCCAACTCATAAACACCCCACAGCAGAGCAGGATGGGCAGTTCGTGATGGGAGATCTGCCCCTCCTGCACCCCGTGATGGACCAAAACCAGAGCTGCTCACATACTGTTCTGTTCTTTTTCTCCCTTTTCCCTAGAAATATCATCTCTGAGTTGGAGCAACTCATTTTTATCAACACGGATGTGGGGCGCTGCCGAGCCTGGCTGCGGCTAGCTCTCAATGATGGCCTCATGGAGTGTTACTTGAAGCTGCTGCTGCGGGAGAAGTCCCCACTGCCTGAATACTACCAAAGCACTGCTCTGCTCTTAGATGCTGAAGAGTGTGAGTTTCTCCTTTGCTACTTGCAAGGTTTAACATCCTTAACCTTCGAGCTCTCCTATAAATCAGCAGTTCTGAACGAGTGGACTATCACCCCTCTGTCCCTGTCGGGGCTGTGTCCTGTTTCGGAGCTGCTGGAGCCCCTCACATCCTCAGCATCCGAACCCCACAGAAAAGCATCGCTGGGTTCCATCTCCCACTCATCGGGCTCGGATGAGATCGAGATTCAACCCTCTGTCCTCTCCATCAGCAAAGGCAGCAGCAAAATCAAGCTCACATCATCCTCGTTGAGCCTCAACACCACCAGCTCATCCCAGCTCTCCTCCAGCCTGGGCTCCGACAGCATCCTCCCAGCCCACTGCGCCCGCAGCCCCGAGGGGGGAGAGGAGCCTCTGTCCTGCGACTCCGACCTGGGCACTGCCACTGCTGAGGACCTGGACCGGTCACTGCAGGAGTGAGTGTTCTCCCGCTTCTTCTCTTCAGAGGGATTCTTAACCCTCTCCTGGGCTCTTGTTGATTTCTCTCTATAGGCAGGAAGGGTTTCTCCCCTGGCTTTTTTTAACAACCCGTATTTTAGGGGGCTGGAGCAGCTCCCATATGGAGCCAGGCTGAGGACATAGGGGCTGTTCAGAAGAGAAGCTGTGTGGAGACCTCAGAGCAGCTTCCAGTGTCTGAAGGGGGCTACAAGGATGCTGGAGAGGGACTCTTCATCAGGGATTGTAGTGATAGGACATGGGTTGATGGGTTCAAACTGAAACAGGGGAAGTTCAGGTTAGATCTGAGGGAGAAGCTCTTCCCTGTGAGGGTGCTGAGGCACTGGCACAGGGTGCCCAGAGAAGCTGTGGCTGCCCCATCCCTGGCAGTGTTCAAGGCCAGGTTGGACACGGGCTTGGAGCAAGCTGCTCCAGTGGAAGGGGTCCCCGCCCATGGCAGGGGTTGGAACTGGAGGAGCTTTAAGGTCCCCTCCAACTCAGACCAATCTAGGATCTATGATTGTTTCTCCTGGGAAAAGCCTGAAAGGTAAAGAGAATGACTCAGCACCTGCTGCTGGAACCTGCTGCCCCGGCAGATGAGCTCCTGGCCACTGAAGTGTGTGTCTGTCCTCTTTACCAAGGCAGAAGCATCAGAGAAATGCTGCTGCCCGGTCTCAGGAATGTCCCATCTCCCTGGCGTACACTGGGGGATGCTCTGGGGCTTTCTGCAGGGAGGAAGAAATGAGTTTGATCACAGGAAAGGGCTGTAATTTGCAGCTTCAGTGGATGATTTAGGGGAGGGAGATTGTTAGTTTGTCATCGTCATGATCTATTTGTGCCAAGCATCCGGCACAAAGAATTCCAGGGGTTATATAAACCCTGAGTAATCAGGAAATATTTTCCCTGCCGCCTTTAAAACCTGGCTCTGAAGGAGCCTGGTGCTGGTTGACAAAGGCACCCTCTTCCCAATAAGGGTCTTCAAGGGGGTTTTAAGTCTCTTCTTCCTCATCAATAACAGCATCATTATCTGCAGGATTTTATGTCTTATGATCATCCTGGAAGAACCTGCCTTGATTGGATTAAACTCGTGATGGAAAGACATCATTTAGCACTGCTTTAATTCCCTCCGGCTGGTGGTGAAGCAGGGGCATGGGAACAGCATCTCATCTGGCCGGGCTCCACTTGGAATTGCTTGTTAACCGTTAGGGAAACTGGCACAATCCCATGGCTGGGTCTGTGTCCAGGAGCTGGGGGTGTGGCTGGGGGATGTGGGGAGCACCCAGCCCTCTCCCTCCATTAGGAGATGTCCATCAGCAGCAAATTAAACCCCAGGAATGTGTAGTCAGGAAATGCATCCTTGCAGGCAGGCTCCCTGTTCTGTGCAGCACAAATCACACATCTCCTGTCTGCGCTGTCATTGCCAGGGAGGTGTTTTTGCAGCCACATGGTGCTGCCAGAGCACAGGAGAAGAGCTGTGATGCTGAGCCCTTTGTTGGGGGTTATAGTTTGCAGTCGCTCTGTGTTGCGTAGTTCTGGTTACTGTGGCTGTGTTCACGCTGATCTCTCTTCCATATTTCCAGGGTGCTGTCCGAGTTCAGCAAAGCCAAGCCTAGCCAGGAAGCCCCAGAGGAACGGCTGCTCCCCAGCATGCTGGGCTGCTCCCCACAGCCACCCGCCTGCCCTGTGGCCACATCACCCCCTGCTCTGGCAGTGCCCCATGGAGCTCCCCAGCAGCCACCCCCCAGTGCAGACAGCCCCGGCTCTGCTGGGACGGGTGATGCGGTGAGCACCGGTGGTGGGGATGGAGAAGGAGTGCGGGCAGGCACTGCTCCGGCCCCATGCCATGCTGGGCCCGGCAGAGGAGAGCCTGGCAGGAGCAGCACGGAGAGCAGCAGTGAGGTGAACCAGGCCGTGTGCAGCCCGACAGCCGAATACCTCCTGTCCCCACTGCTGGGTTGTCCGGTAGGTGTTACAGCTCCCTTGCTATCCATCTCCTTGGGTTTATGCTTCTGAGCAGTAGATGGAGTCACACAATCCCAGACCGGTTTGGGTTGGAAGAGACCTTAAAGCTCATCCAGTTCCATACAGGAGGTGCTCCATCTCCGTGATCATCCTCATGGCCTCTTCTGGACTTTCTCCAAGAGCTCCTTGTCCTTATGTTGAGGACACCACAACTGCACACAGTGCTGCAGGTGGGGTCTCACGAGAGCATATATATAATGGAAAAATAGAGATAGTAGAAAAGGGAAGTAAAACTTGTGACAGGTTCTGAGGAAGCGCTGGTCTCTCCAGACTCTTCCCAGAGCAAGATGGCATTCCCTCGTGCTTAGGCTAGCAGGAGCAGCAGCAGATTTCCCTTGCTGCTGCCGAGGAGTTGATCCACTTGCTTCTGCTTTTAGGAAACTCTTTGAACAGCTCCGTCCTCTGTCTCATTTGTTACTGACTTTTCCATCCTGGCAAGGTTAGGATATACTTCAGACCTCCCCCTGCGCACAAAACAGTTTCTCTTTTTGGTCTCTGCTCCTTTCAGCTGCCTCCCAGTTATCCCATTTCCACTGCTTCCTTGTGGCACTGGGCCAGTTTGACCTAATCTATGTATAACATACAATGTCAACAGGAAATTCCCCCTGCTTCCGCATGACTCACAGGTCAACCTGCTCCTTTCTATGGAACACTGAGCTGGGTTGTGTTTTGCTGCTGGTGCTTGTTCAGGGACCTTGTCCCAGAACCATGGAATGGTTTGGGTCAGAAGGAACCTTCAAGGTCATCGAGTTCCAACCCTCGCTTTGTTCATCCCACCAGTATTTGCCAGCTGCCAGCACAGTCCCAGGGAGGGGTCACTGCAGGGGGATGTTGGAGGGGCACAGGATGTTCATTGAGTTTGATCATTAATTTGGGGGTTTGTTTTTAACTAGAAAAGGAAGAGCTGGATCTCGGAAGATGATTTCTACCGACCTTCCCTAGGAGAGAGCAGTGAAACCGCAGCCAACACCAACAGCTTTGGCCCGGAGGGGGCTGGGGAGGGTCCTGCCCCAGGACTCATCAGTGCCCTTGACTTGGAAAGGCTCTCAGTGCCATCCTGGGAGAGCGGGAAGCCCAAAGCGTCACCGGAACGGGAGCAAAAGGGCTTCAGCGTGGTGCACCGCAGGCAGATGGGTACGGGCTGCCCTCCCCTCGTGGGCTTACCTGGAGCCCCTGCAAGGGGCAGTGCTGAGGGGCTGGGGGGTGACGGGCTGCTTGAGAGGCAGCTGTTTGCTGCTGTGCTGATAGCAGCAGTAGGGTCATAGGACCATAGAATCAACCAGGTTGAAAAAGACCTTTAAGCACATCAAGTCCAACCCTTACCCCAGCACTGCCAAGGCTTTCCTTTATGCCATTCCATTTGTTCTAAGCTTCAGTACCCAAATATACGTGGACAGATGATGGAGGCCAAGGTCCTGCAAACTCCTGTCCCATCCCATCACCCACCAGGACTGGCTCTCAAAGCTGTGATGCCTCTGGTTTCTCACTGCGAGCAGCCCATTGGCTTTTCCCTCTCCACTGGCTTCCCCTTTACTGGCTAACCCGAGACATCTGCTTTTGCCCCAGGGCTTTCCAACCCTTTCCGAGGGCTCCTGAAGCTGGGCACCCTGGAGCGGAGAGGAGCCATGGGGATATGGAAGGAGTTCTCCTGCGAGCTGTCGCCGCTGGAGCTTCGGCTCCTGCTGGACCACGAGGACCGCATCTGTGTCGAGAGCTACTCCCTGCTGCGGTGCGAGGCGCTGGCGCTGACGCACTCAGACGGGCGGTTCGAGCTGGTGTTCCTAGGGAAGAAGCTCTACCTCCGAGCTCCTTCTTGCGACGAGGCCGAGGACTGGTTGGACAGGATCCGCGAGGCGCTGCACGAGTGCCGGCCTCAGCTGGAGGAGGAGCAGTGGGAGACACTGGAGTACCCAGAAGAGGCTGGTGAAGGCCAGCCCATCCAGAGCGACTCCACTGCTCTGCTCCAGTACAGTGACGTGCCTGGGAACAGCTTTGACTGGACTCCAGCTCATGAACCAGAGCTGGATGCAATAAAAGAGGCTGTTCTGTACGTGGACATGGACAAAACCTGGGTCCCTTTTATTTTTTCCCTGTCTCTAGAAACTTTAAAGTGCTTTAAAGTCAGGAACAATGACAAAATTTTAAGCAACAGTTATGGCATAGAGACCATCCAGGACATCCTGCCGGACACAAGCCTCGGGGGACCCGCCTTCTTCAAGGTGATCACCTCCAAAGCTGTCCTGAAGCTGCAGGCTGAGAACGCAGAAGAAGCTGCCTCATGGAGGGAGCTGGTCCGAGCGGTGCTCATGTCCTACCTGGAGAGTGCAGAGGAGGCTCTGACGCTGGGTGGCAGCTTGGACGGGCACTCCCAGGTCGTCCTGAAGAACATTGTGAAGGAAAACGGCTTCTTGTTGCAATACCTGGTGGCCATCCCCATGGAGAAGGGCCTGGACTCTCAGAGCTTCATCTGTGCAGGTATATGTTGGGTTGTCCAGAAACCCAGCTCCATCTTCATGGAATCATAGAATGGTTTGGCTTGGAAAGGACCTTAAAGCTCATCCAGTTCCATCCTTCTGCCTTAGGCAGGGACACCTTCCACTAGAGGAGGTTGCTCCAAGCCCCGTCCAGCCTGGCCTTGGCATGGGCAGCCCCATCTTCTCAGGGGTAATGTTGAGTTCATTCAGTTTAACAAGGTGACATCAAGTTAGGGTGTCCTGGGCCATGCCAGCCCCTTGCAGGCCAGCTGCTGGTTCCCCATCCAAATCCCGTCAGGCACCGGCACGCCATGTCCGCACTCAGTGGCACCTCTGGGGGTTTGGGTCCTCAGAGTGAGTCCCCCCAAGTTGCATCCCCATTCCACCCCAGCACAGGTCCAGTGGGTCTTTAAGGTGCTTATGGTATAGCCAGGGGAGGTCTTGGCTTGAAAGCAACTTTAGGTGGACCAGGAGGCCCAGGACTCTCCAACCTGCAGGGAAGGTGTACTCAAGAACAAATGCTGTTTTTCCAGTAAGGCAGCACAGGAGTGAGCATTGCAATGGGTGTGACAAGCTGGTTTGGCAAAACATTCCTTTAACCTCCCACTAACCCCTCCCAGCGCCCGGGTGATGCTGGGTTCATGGGACACCACTCACTGACCTCTCTGGGAGGTACCGTTTGCTCTTTCCCTTGGGAAGTTAATTAACTTCAGGTCTCTCTCCTGCATCAGTTGTATTTCTTGCACCCTCCAGCGGGTGTTTGTTTCCTTTCAGTGTCTCTTCTTCTTAGATATGTATGTATTTTCCATTGTATTTAGTTTTACCTTGCCCTCCAGGCTCTGTCCTGCATCTTCTACCTACCAACAGATGGAAGCAGCAAGCTGGAAAGACTTCCCAGCTTTTATGTGTAGGTTTTGTTGGAGGTCTCTGCCTGCCTGGCTTTCCCCTCCCAGCCTGGGGCAGGTTTCCTTCCATGGCAGGGCTTAAGAAGCATTGAAAGCCTTCAAAGATCAAGCCCATGATTGTGATTTTGGGGAGGAAGCACTCCAGCCGCCCCAGCGTGCAAACGATGGGGTGGCAAAGCCGAGCTGGATTCCTCCTGGCTTACCCACTGCAATAATAAAGGTGGTTGGTTGTTGTTTAATCCATCCTGACCTCATCCCTGGCAGATGAGGATCCCTAGCAGACCTGGGTTTGGTAGCCGGTGGTGTGACAGCAGGAAAGAAAAAGGCTGAGTGAAGGCAAAACAGGGCAAAGCTACTGGTGAAGGGGATGGGGCAGGCAGGTGGGGCATCAGTTCTTCCCTAAAGCACTGGGATATTTCCTTTTCCTTAAAGGAAAAGCACTGGGATATTCTCTTTTCCTTAAAAAAAACACCCCATCAAACAATTGAACCACTCAAAGGGTAAAAGTGGATTTAGGGATAGTCCAGACTCCTATTTAATGGAGAAAAAGTGAAGTGGGTCTCGTTGCATCACTGTGGTCTTAAATCCACAGGGAGGGGCCTGGGGACTTCTCACTGAAGTGCTTTAGCAGATCTCCAGCCCTTCCAAAAGCTTTCTTGTTCCATTCCACCCTCCCAAAAGCATTTCCCCCCAGCCTGGCAGTGATGGGAACAGGCTCCTAGAGCAGCCCAGGTCCCCTCTCATTCTCTGCTCCCTGCAGGCTGCTCCAGGCAGATCGGCTTCTCCTTCACCAAGCCCAAGCTCTGCGCCTTCTCCGGTCTCTACTATTGTGACAGTTGCCACCGGGACGAGGAGACAGTGATTCCCTCACGCCTCATCCACAATTGGGACCTGGCAAAGCGAGGGGTGAGTCTGGGCTCAGCCAGTGCACAGAGCAGGGAAGTGCTCCTGCATCTGCCTCTGCTTCCTGAAGGTCCGTCTGAATGTTCCCGCCAGCAGCAGAGGTGGAGATGTCCACCTTAGACCTTCCTCTGAGCCTCCTGGGCTGCTCCTGGGTGCGTGCACACCTCTTGCCTCTCTCTGCCCCAGGTTTGCCAGCAGGCCTTCAAGTTCCTCAGCCAGATCCGTAACCAGCCGCTGATCGACCTGGAGTTGGTCAACGAGAGCCTCTACGACCACGTGGAGAGGATGGGACGGATCCTCCGAAGCAGGGAGCGGCTGAAGCTGCTGGGGGATTATCTCATCATGTGCCGCAGCGGGGCCCTGAAAGAGCTGAGCAAGCGGTGAGGTCCCTCTCTGGGTGATGTTCCTCCTGTATCCCCCTCTTTGCACCCCAGTGGTCCCCCTCATCCCTCACTGTTGGAGCAGGGAGCCAAGGCATGGGCTGGATTTTAGCTCCAATGTCGTCTGCTCTAAGGAGTTCTCCATCTGTTGACACATTGAGATGTGACTCAGGAAACACCTTCCTGAGTGAGCTGCTTCTGGTTGGACAGGAAACACCTGGGAAAACAGATGAGATACTGATTTTCTTTTCTTTTTCCCCCCTTTGAAATGCTCTCACACGATTCCCAGCAGCAGGATTTGGGATGTGAGGCACGATGTGAACATCTGTGGTGATGTTCTTCAAGAGTCTGCATCATCTAGGCTTCTCCTTGTTCCAAAGCTTATTGGGGATGTGGTGGAAACCATCTACCTCCTTGCTCTCTTCTTTTGCAGGCTTGATCACAGGCACTACCTCTTGGAGTATCCCCACAAATACAGCGTTGCTGACCTGAGGCAGGTGAGAGCTCTGTGTGGTCACAGGGGTTTTGCTGGTGAAAACATCCCAGGTTTTATTCATGGAGATGCTGCACTGAGCATGGTGCTTCTTCAGCTCCGAGAGCTACAGAGATGACACAGGATGAATTGTTTCACTTCTGTTTAAGCCAACATTGCTGTTAGCACCCTTCCAAACAAACCTGTGTCTGCTGCAAATGATGCTGGAGGTGATGGGGAGTTGGGTTTTGCACTGATTCCCAGCTGTGGGTGCTGCACTCAGCTCTCTCTGGGTGGCTCCCATTGCAACCCAGGCACATGGGGTATGGGTTGTTTCTGGAGCTTGTCTTCACGTGGCAGCACAAAGGATGTATGTGACATGGGGTTTGTGTGGTGCAAACCCACCAGGAGACACTGCATGAGTGCCTGAGGTGTCTCTGCTCCGCAGATAGCTGATGGTGTCTTTGAGACCTTCCTGCAGTCTCTGCTCCAGTTCGCTTCTCACCACGTCTACAACTGCGACCTGTGCACCCAGCGTGGCTTCATCTGCCAGCTCTGCAACAGCAGCGACATCATCTTCCCCTTTGAGTTTGACACTACCACCAGGTCAGTGACATCCCTATCACCCCACCCCCCCCTGCTGCAAGGCCACCCCCAAGCTTGTGCCTTGCCTGTTCTCAGGAGCCTGGACCATCGCTGGAGCCCTTTCAGGGACACAGTCTCGGGGTAGCCTAGAAATAGCTCTGAGCTGGTTGTGCATCGTTGTGGTACCCATGCCCTTGTGGTACCCATCAGCCCCAGGATGATCTGAACCCAAACAGGGCTGTTTGGGGCAGGAAAAGACCATCCTTACAGAGCCAGCATGTCACCAAGTGAGGTAGTTTTGCAGACTGAACATGGCAGAGCCAGCCAGCACCTTGCTCTCAGCCTGTAAAAGCAGGCTTGAAGGAACCTTAAAGCTCATCCAGCTCCAACCCCTGCCACGGGCAGGGACCCCTTCCACTGGAGCAGTTTGCTCCAAGCCCCTGTGTCCAACCTGGCCTTGAGCACTGCCAGGGATGGGGCAGCCACAGCTTCTCTGGGCACCCTGTGCCAGCGCCTCAGCACCCTCCCAGGGAAGAGCTTCTGCCTAAGAGCTCATCTCAGTCTTCCCTCTGACAGGTTAAACCCCCTCTGCCTGCAGTGGGGTTCAGCTGCTGGGCAGACGTTAGGATCAGACTTGGGGGGGTTATCCCACTGTCAGGGTTTTCCTAAAGAAATAATACCAAACCCTTCCAGCCCAGGAGCCTGATCCATTGTAAGTGGAGAGAGATCCACACTCAGTGGTTATTTGGGAATGAGTATAATCCTGACAGAGAAGTTTCACAGGCTGATGCTTTCTGTGTGGTCTTGCTTTGCCTGGCAGTAACATCCCGAACCTGGAGAAGATACCAACAAGACCAGGATCTGCGGGCACCCCATGCATTAACGTGGTTGCAAATATTCCCAGGGTGTCTGAGCAGGATTGAATCGTGCTTGTTACCAAGGACAGCATCCCCATGGGAACGGTTTTCCCTTAAGGAAAGGAGCACAGGGGCTCTGGCAGGCGCAGCTCTGCCGGCAGCTGGCCCCTGTCCTGCTGGGCTCTGCACCTTGTTGATCTCTGCTTCTGGAGGAGGAGGCTGTGCAGCAGGAAAGCAGCTCCACCAACATCCTCACCGAGCTCAACCCCGCTTCCTGCCCCTCTGCCCGCCTGGGGCACAGCCGGCAGCAGGGTCATGCTGTCACCCGCTGCAGGATGCGCCTCAAACGCCTCCTGACAATAAACCCTCTGCTCCCAGCAGCAGCCGCTGCTTCCTGCAGCCCCTGTGCAGGCAGGAGGAGGCAGGAGATGCTGCTCGCTCAGGAGCACTCAGGGTGAATCCCCCCCTTGGCTTTGCATGTCCCCTCAACACTGCTGCTAATCCAGGAGCCATGGGAAAAGAGATTTCATTGGGAAAACGCATGGTGCCAGGCAGCACCCTCATAGGATCACAGGCAGGTTTGGGTTGAAGGGACCTTAAAGCTGATCCACCCCCCTGCCACCGGGGCACACTCCCCTCTCCACTCATCCTGTGGGAAAGCAAGGTGCCCAGAAGCGTTCTAGTTGCACCTTGGGCAACACGGTCACGGAAGGTGTCCCTGCTCCACGTGTTGGGGTCTCCTGGCTGCCCTCCAGCCCCAGTGAGCACAGGAGCCCCACGGCGCCGTGTCCCAGCCCTGCTCTTTCCGGGGTTTGGGGTCTCAGCCGTGCACCGTCTGTGCTCCGAAAGCAAAGCCCAAACCTCGCTCAGCATCTCCCGCTTTGATGTGCAGCACCCGCAGCACTGGCGGCTCCCCTGGGTGCTGCTTCCGGGCTGAGCTTTTGCTCTTGGCTTGCAGGAGGAGGATCTTCAGCTCGAGGAGTTGCTGCTACTGCCAGCAAAGTTCATCGTGAGCTGGAGCCGGCCCCTGCCCGCGTTCTGCTCAAGGAGTGTTTGGTGAAAACAGGAGGGGAAGTGAGAAGTTGCTGAGCAGGATCTGAGCTGCACCCCCAGAGGATGAGCAGTGGTTGAGGGAGGGATTCTCCCCCCTGCTCCTCTCTGGGGAGACCCCCCCCTGAGACCTGAGAGCAGCTCCAGTGCCTGAAGGGGCTCCAGGAAAGCTGGAGAGGGGCTTTGGACAAGGGATGGTGGGACAGGACAGGGGGAATGGCTTTAACCTGCCAGAGGGGAGACTGAGATGAGCTCTTAGGCAGAAGCTCTTCCCTGTGAGGGTGCTGAGGCGCTGGCACAGGGTGCCCAGAGAAGCTGTGGCTGTCCCATCCCTGGCAGTGCTCAAGGCCAGGTTGGACACAGGGGCTTGGAGCAAGCTGCTCCAGTGGAAGGGGTCCCTGCCCGTGGCAGAGAGTTGGAATTGGAGGAGCTGTAAGGTCCCTTCAACCCAACCCATTCCATGGTTCTGTAAGGCTATGCAGTGTCCCAGGTCTGGTTTGATGGGGACAGTTTGGGTCTTTCCTCTGCAGTTATCAACAGTAGAGGTTTTTCTCCCTGGTTTCTCCCAGGTGCAGTGAATGCAAAACCGTCTTCCACCGGGAATGCCAGGCCAGCGCCAGGTCGTGCCCGCGCTGCGAGCGCCGGCGGAGGTACCAGCGGGAGCTGGAGGCAGAGGCCAGCGTGGAGCCAAGCCTTTAGCATCCAGGGACTGGCCTCAATCTCATCCAGCCCCTGGGTCTCATCCAGCTGGAAAGGGGCTGCAGGGAAGAGACCTGGGAGCAGGTCCTGTGCCAGGGGATGGGGAACCATGTGGTATGGTTGCTCCTGCCCCCACAGCACTGAGCAGTGAGGCTGGAAAGGTCCATGTGCCCCCTCACATGAACCTGGTGCTGCTCAGGAGGGCTCCGAGTCGCCCTTCAGTGGAGACCCAGTGGCTTCCCAGAGGATTCCAGCAGGGGTGGATAACGGACAGTGACAAAATCTCTAGTTTTTTAGGGTGTTCTGTACTGGAGAATCCGTATTTTTGTATGGGGGGGGGCTGCAGGAGCCGGCCCGGGTCGGGGGATGACGGCAGCCGCAGGGGAGGGGGTGAAGTGACACTTGTGCCTTCAGGGACCTGCACCATCTCCCCATCCCCATGGCCTCGGGTGGGGGGGATGAGCCGGGGGCTGCAGCTCCTCAGCCTTGGGGGAGGTTTTAGTTTCCTCTCATCCCTCCCCAGAAAGAATTAAAGTTTATTTAAGGAGGGGTGAAGCATCTCTGGAGTTTGTGTCCCACAGCAGGGCCAAAGCAGCACCAACCTGGAGTTGTGGGGATGGGGATGGAGGCCCTGCACGTCCTCATGCTCCTGGCATGGCCCCGTTTCCCCTTCCCCATTTCCCTGCCCCGTTTTCCCATCTTCTCTGCACCGTTCTTGGCATCTCCAGTTCTTCCCACCACCACCCAGCTCCCAGGAGGGTTCGGGGCTCACCCACAAGCACTGGGACTCCTGGGGACCTAGGGGCAAAGCCCAGGCCAGGGCAGTACCCCCGGGACCCCCATAACGTGGGTCCCATCCTCCTGCCCAACGAGGCTGCACCGGATCCGACGGCGGCGGCGGCGAGATCCCAGCTGAGCCGCGGGGCAGGGCCCTTCCTGCGGCAGGAACCTCCTGAGGAGCCGTTTCCTCCAGCACCGTCCTTCCCTCCCACCCTGTGGGGAGGACCCGGCCGGGACCCCTCTGCTCATGGGGCCAGGCACCCAGCACCAGCCCCAAGCCCAGCCCCATCCATCGACACGGCAGGAAACCGGGGCGAGTTGGGACCAGCCCAGCACAGGCACGAGCAGGACCCACGGGCACGAGCGGGACCTGCTGCCGCACACCCCAGCACCGCTGGAGGTGGGGTTTGGGGGCTTGGTGGCCTTGGGGCTGTGGGACCTGGGGCTCAGTGGCTTTGGGGGCTGGAGAATGGGGGTGAGGGCACGGCAGCGACCCCTAGGGCGGTTTGGGGCAGGTTTGGGTGGTTTGTGGAATGGCTGCGAGGGGCTGAGGCTGAGCAGGGAGGCCCCAGCGTGGTTCCCACATGCCCCAAAGGGGTTGGGAGCTGCCCTCACCCCTTCCTTGCCCCACATCCTACAGGCGGAGGTGCCGGAGCAGCCATGGAGGCGGCGGTGCCCGCGGAGGAGGTGCTGGTGCTGGTGGAATACGGCTTTGAGTACCGAGCCAAGGACGGGACCTTGGTCTCCATCAAGCCAAACGAGCGCTACGTCCTGCTGAAGAGAACCAACCACCACTGGTGGCACGTCAAGAGGAGTGGGGATGCGCGGCCCTTCTACATCCCTGCCCAGTACGTGAAGGAGCTGCCCCCCATCGCCACCCCAGCCCCGCCTGACCCATCCCCGCAGGGATACAGCAGGATGGATCCGACCACGCTCATCCCGCAGCAAGCACCAGCCTTCGAGTATCGGTTCATCGGTGCCACCGAAACGGAAGAGCCGGAGAGGGGCTGCTCCGTGCCCAGGAGGGACTCGGTGCCCAGGAGGGATTCGCCGCCGGTTCTCAGCTCTTTTCGGGCCCCCCCAAGTCTCAGACCCTACCCCCTGGATCCCGTTCGCTCCTCGCACTCCCTGGATGACCTGGCCTGGGTGACCCCAGCTCCACGCAGTGCCCCCACCATGGGCTCGCACAGGGACCCCCCCGGACACACTCGTCCACTCAGCAAGAGCCGCTCCGAGACCTTCTGTGCCCCCGGCAGAGACCTGGATGTGGCCGGGAGGAGGCCGGGCCCTGGCCACGCGGCTCAGGTACGGTCCTGTCCCCTTGTGCTGTCCCCTAAAGCGGCGCTGGGAGGGGTTGGGGGGGGGGGTGTGCTGGGTCCTTGCCTGCCCCAGTGTCCCCAGCACAGACCTGTGAGCCCAGCACTGGGTGGGCACCCAGGGGCTGCCCAGCACCACTGCCACCACCGGGACCCCCATGCTCCCCACTGAGCTGACCCCAGGAGCCAACCCCCCAGAGCTGCCAGCTTTTACCATGGGAGTGGATTGACCCCCACATCAGGCACCCATCCCAAGCACCTCCTGTGCCTCACCCCCACGGGCGCCCTGGGCTCTCCATGCCCCTGGTCCCGGGGGGCTCTTTCAGGTGTGTGCCCCCCCATCCTGGCAGCATTCGCAGTGAGAGGAGGCAGAAAGGGGTTAACCAGGAGGCGCTGCGGCTCCTCCCCAGGGCCCGTGTCTCGCCCATGGGTGCAGCACCCATGGCCGGGGGTGGGTGCTGGCTGCACCCCAGATAAGGGGCCCATGTCATCCCAAAACCAACACTCCCCATGCCAGTAAGTAGCGAGGGGTCCTTCTCAGCATCCCCCTGCACCCTTTTGGGGGGGGCACCCAAAGGTGGGGGGATCCCCCCCACCGCAGACATGGGGTCAGATGGTGACAGTGAGGGGGGCCCCATGGCCTTGTGTCCCTCCCGTTCCCCTCTCCTGGGGGCACCCGCAGCCCCCCAAGCCCCCGCATCCCCCACTCTGGGGGTTGCACTGCCCACAGGGGTGTTTCACTGGGGGAAGGAGCTGTTGGTGAGCAGGGGTCATGTTTGACCCCCATTTCTCACCCTGCAGCCCCAGTTGTGCTGGCTTAACCCCCGGGGCACAACCAAAGCCACTGAACCGCCATCCAGGAGGTCCCCACTGTGGTCCCCAACCCCAGTGCCACCACCAAATCCCACCCAGCACCAAAACCAACTGCTGCTGGGGCAGTGGTGCTGCCTTGGCCTGGGCACCTTGTCCATGTGCCACCATGTCCATGTGCCACCATATCCATGTGCCACCGTGTCCATGTGCCACCGTGTCCATGTGCCACCATGTCCATGTGCCACCACGGCTGCTGGGACACCCTGATCCCGGTGCTGGGGGACGCAGCACCCCTGTTCCAGTGCCACAGCATGATGCCAGAGGGGCCAAACATGGCGGGATTTTGCACCGGCTGCATCCCCAGCACAGCATCATCCCAGTACGATCCCGGCTCGGTTGGGTTTGGCTTCGCTGGGGGTGACGCCAGGGTGACAGCACCCCCAAAGCCGGCCGGTTCTGCCCCAAGGTCCCACTCGGAGGTGCCTCTTCCGCCCCTGAACCCGAGCAGGAAGCACAGTGGGTGCCGGGCCCGGCACAGGCGCCATCGGTGCAAGCAGAGCCCCCGATGCCCCCCCGGTGCCCCCTGCAATGGGTGATCAGGGGCCAGGGCCGCGGCAGCAGGCACAGAGCAGGGTGCGGATGGGGCAGGTAGGCAACACCCATGGGTGTGCTGGGGTGGGGGTGTTGGGTGATACCACCCCACCCCCCCCCCCTCCCCGGGATGCACACATGGGAGAGGGAAGCGCTGGGGGGGGGTCAGCGCTGGGTCCCCCACTGTCACCCCCATGTGCCCAAGAGGACAGGGGCCTCTTGTGCTGGGTTTCCAGCTCCACTCGCTGTGGCAGGGGGTCGGGGGGGTGATGGGGTGTCCCTGGGGATACTCGATCCATTGTCCCACTGTGCTCCAGGGTGTCCCGGGGAGGGACATTCCATCGCTGTGTGTGTCCCCCCCCATCAGGAAGGGCCACCGTTGGCGAACTTTGTCCCCAGCCATTGCAGGGAGGCTCCAGGGCTGTAAAGCTGCAGAGAGCAAAGGGTGCCAGGAGGGGACCCCCCCGGGCCATGGGGACGTGTCCTACCCCTTGAGCAGCCCCATAGTGGGGCACCCCAGGGTGCTCAGGGCCCTGTTTTGGGGTGCTGTGATGGGGCTGTTGGTCTGAGCACCCAGCTCTGCTCCGGGCAGGTCGAGCTGATGGGGCCGTGGGTGCTGGTGGGGTGGTGCTGGAGATGGGCAGGGTGCTGGAGCTGAGGGCGCTGATGGCAGTGAAGGGGGCAGAGGCTGGGGTGCTGCTGTACTGGAAGGAGTCCCTGCGCGTGGCAGGGGCTGGAGCTGGAGGAGCTGTAAGGTCCCTTCCGACCCAAACCAGTCTCACACCTGTAGGAAGGACGGAAGCCAAGGCAGCCACAGCAGGGCAGGATCCAGCTCCCTGACCCCCTCGCGCTGTCCCCAGCATCCCTGCCCCATGGCTCACACCCACGTCCCCCCCAGGCACAGCCGGAGCCAGAGGAGCCGCCTGTTCCCATCTACCTCAACCTCCAGGAGCTGCGGGAAGCAGCCACCACCGGCTCAGCCCCAGAGGAGCCCAACAGCTCCAGTTCGCATTGGGAAACCCACAGGGACACGGAGACTGGACGCTTGTTTTACTATAACCCCGTGACGGGCGAGGCCACGTGGGTTTGTCCCTTTGGGCAGGCAGGAGAAGGAGTGAGTCCTGCAGCCTCTCCCACCCGCTCGCCAGCGCACAGCCCGCGGTGTTCCGAGTGGGAGCAGCTCGTGGATGAAGGCAGCGGACAGGCTTTTTTCTATAATTGGGTGACAGGTGAGACGTCGTGGGACCCCCCCGACACCGGAGGAGCACAGGACAAGCACCACGGGGGGACGCGGTACGGAGCTATGGAGCAGAGGGTGAGCACCTGGCAGCACAGGGTGAGGGGATGGGGATGGAGGTGGAGATATAGAGATGGAGACGGGGATGGAGATGATGATGTTGGGGCAGCCCCAACCTGGGCTGGTCATGGCTTGGGGATGCAGATGCTCTTGGCAGGACACAAGATCTTCACCTGGCTCTTCTCTCCAGCCACCCACTCCAGAAACAGATTATCCCAACCTGTCTCCAGACGAGCTGGAGCGTTATCCCAAGTACTGCTCGCCAGTGGGCTCCTATGATCAGGAGGCAGCTCTCTGCGTGTCCCCAAGGAGCCCTGAGGAGCTGGGCTCAGCCCCAAGCTGGTTTGGGCACAGCCACCCCGAGGGGAGCATATTCTGCCCCGAGCACCTCGCCTCCGACACGGTACGGGATGGGGACAGGGATGGATGGGAATGGGGATGGGATGGGGATGGGTATACGGGCAGGGATGGGAATAGGAATGGGGATGAGGATGGCAATGGGGACAGGGCTGGGGACAGGGGTGTCTGCAGGGTTGAGCACCCTCAGTGGTGCAGGGGGTGCAGGGCCCAGCACCCATCTCACATGAGCATCACCCTCCCCTTCCAGGGGCCATGGGGCCGCCCAGCCCGGGCCAGCAGCAGCTCCAGCCTGGACAGTGGGGTCCTCACCATGGCACCAGCACCGGGGCCCAGGGAGGAGAAGGTGGGTGAGCACCAGGGCAGGGAGCCCAGCCCTTCCCCACCCTGCACCCCGCAGGGCAGGGTCAAACCTAACCCCCCCCCCCGCACCCCCTTTGCCTTCCAGTTGAAGAGCCTCGAAAAAGCTGGGGTGCTCAACAGGACCAGGACGGTGGACAAGGGGAAGCGGATCCGGTAAGAGCATCCTGGCTCCCACGGTGCCAGCGGAGATGAGGGAGCCCTGGGGAGCAGAGGGGCCATGGGCTCTGCTGTCCCCTTATGTGACCCCCTCCCGCTCCCCAGGAAGAACTGGAGCTCCTCCTGGACTGTGCTGGAGGGTGGGATCCTCACCTTCTTCAAGGACTCCAAGCACTCTGCTGCTGGTGCCTTGGTAAGAGCCCAGTGGCCTTGGTGGTGCCAGCACCCATTGGAGGGAGCCAGCACCCACGGGATGGGGCCAGCACCTCACACACACGCATCCCCCCATGCGGGAGCTGGAGCCGGTGCTGGGGCACCCCAAGGAGCCCTACAGGGAGCAGGAGGAAGTGGGCCCCGGCCTCCCCCTCCCAGAGCCAGCAGCTGGTGCCACCGGATGCAAAAGCCACCGTGGGTCTTGCGACACCCCCGGTGGTGGCAGCAGGGGAGGGACCCACTGCCGGGGTGTGGGTGCTGGGTCCTGTCTGGGGCGGAAACAGGGGCTGGAGAGAGCCTGGATGGAGGTGGCTGAAGCACCGCGAGCCCAGGGCATGGGGAGAGCCAAGGCTCCCCCATGAGCACCCCATGGGACTGTCCCCTCCCTGGGGACACCCACCCGTATTCCTGTCACTGTAACGCTGCCACTGCTGCCACCCTAAAGCTGGAGACCCCTGGGGTCCCCAGGCAGTGCTGGGGATGTGCCATGAGGTGACAGCGGCTCTAGGACCTGGCTGCCCCCAGGCTGCTGGCCATGACCCCCATCAGCAGCGATGTGCCCTGGTCCTGCAGAGACCCCAGTGCTGTGGGAGGCCATGGTTGCCACACCAGCCTCTCTGGATGGGGGGAAGCCCCCAGGACCCCGGGGTCCCCGTCCCCTGTGGGCAGGTGCCGCTGGTACCACCCCCATCCCTTTGCTCCAGCAGCGGCACCCCAGCACCCTGACCACCCCCGAGCACACCCTGGAGCTGCGCGGGGCCACCCTTGCCTGGGCCAGCAGGGACAAGTCCAGCAAGAAGCACGTCCTGGAGGTGAGGTGGAGACCCTGGGACCATCGGTCACACGTCAGGGGCTGCACATGGGGCAGGGGGGATGCCAGCACCTGCCCGGCTCATCCCAGCAGTGGTGCGGGTGTGCTGGGGTCGGTGGCCTTGGGACACTGGGACACGTCCCCAGGCAGGCCCTGTGCTGTCAGCCGCTGTCCCCTCCCTGGGGGCATGGAGGTGTTGCAGAATCCCAGCCTGGTGTGGGTCAGCGGGGACCTGAATGCTCATCCAGCTCCAGCCCCCTGGCAGCAACCCCAGAACCAGCCTAGCTCAGCCTGAAGAGTACCACGGCACGTTCTTGCTCCCAGAGGGGTTTTTCCACTCGGGCCTTGCACAGGAAGGTTTCCCCCTCACCAGCAAACAGCATTAATTGTGCTCATCGGTGCAATGAGCTGGGCGCTGTGCTCAGCCACAACCCGCCCTGACCTCTGCCCACTGCTCCCGCAGCTGAGGACACGGGAGGGCTCAGAGTTCCTCATCCAGCACGACTCGGATGGGATCATAGCTGCATGGCACAAGGCAATCGCTGACAGCATCGGGAGGCTGGTGAGCAGGGCCCCCCACCCCGACACCACGGGGATGGGCACGGGGGGGCTCATGCTGCCCCTTCTGCAGGGCACCAACCTCTCTGGAGACGAGGATGCCGAGAGCGGGGCTGAGTTCGGCTCCCGGGAGAAGCCAGGAGGTGGTGAGGAGAAGAGGGCAGGTGAGCTCGGGCACAGCGGCACAGGGACCATCGCCATCCCATCCCTGTCCCCATCTGTGCCTCCATCCTCATCCCTATCCCACCGCATCCAATCCGTGTCCCCATCCCTGCACGACAGCGCCGGCAAACGCCCACTGGGCAGAGTGGGTGTCCCCTTCTCCCTGGGGTGGTGGGACATGCCAGCAGCACCCCGATCCTTTGGGATGATGCTGATGTGCACCCTGTCCCCATCAGTGATGGGCAATGCCAGCGGCGAGAGCGACTCCAGCAGAGTCCGGAACAAGCTCCGCAAGTTCCTGCAGAGGCGGCCGACGCTGCAGTCCCTGCGTGAGAGGGGCTACATCAAAGGTGGGTGCTGGGGTGGGGCTATGTCAAGGGTGGGTATTTGGGATGGGGCTGAACCCCCTTAGGGTGATCCCCAGGCTGGAAGGGGAGCGGAGATGACCAAGGCTGAAGTTGGGGACCAAGCCTGACCCAACATCTTGGTGATGGGCTTGGGCATGTCCCATCACCTCCAGCCACCGCGGTGTCATAGCTCTATGGGAACAGGACCCTCTGCAGTGTCCCCAGCCCTGTCCGTCCCCCCCCCCCGGCCCCCAGCTCCCCCCACGGACACTGTTGGTGTCACTTCTCGTGCTCAAGTCCCTGTTGGCTTCTCCAGACCAGGTCTTCGGCTGCTCCCTGCAGGCACTGTGTGAGCGGGAGCGGGGCACGGTGCCACGCTTCGTCCTGCAGTGCATCCAGACCGTGGAGAGGAGAGGTACCACAGCGGGGACAGGACAGCCTGGGGGCACCAGCGTGGGGATAGCCCTGAGTGAAGCCTTCATTTGATGGCGGGGTTTTCCCTGGGGCCCCGGGGGTGTGGGACATTGTGGGTACCCAGAGCAGCCTCGATGGCGGCTGGTGACACATCCCATGGGTTGTGGTGTACCAGGAGCTTTCCTCCATCTCCACCGTTGTCTTCTGCCAGGTCTGGACATCGATGGGCTGTACCGGGTCAGCGGCAACCTGGCCACCATCCAGAAACTGCGCTACAAAGTGGAGCATGGTGAGGGCACCCGCAGTGCCACCAGGGGACTAAGGGGATAGAACCCGTGGAGAGGGATGGGATGGGGACCCCTGCGGGGCCCTGGGACCCACCTGAGGTGCTGTCCTGTCCTGCAGATGAGCAGCTGGACCTGGATGACGGGCGCTGGGAGGACGTCCATGTGGTCACCGGCGCGCTGAAGCTCTTCCTCCGCGAGCTGCCCGAGCCGCTCGTCCCCTTCAGCCACTTTGAGCAGTTCATCGCTGCCATCAGTGAGGCGCAGGACAGGGCTGGGATGGGGATGGGAATAGGGTTTGGGGTGGGGATGGGGACAGGGACGGGGACAGGGATGGGGCAATGACAAGGACAGTGACAGAGATGAGGACAGGAATGGGGACAAGGTTGGATGCTCTGGCTGCTGGAGCCAGTACCCACCTGTGTCCCCTCCCCTGGCAGAGATGCAGGACCCAGTGCGGCCGGGCTGGTGCATCCGTGAGCTGGTGTCCTCCCTCCCACCCGCCCACCACGACACCATGAAGGTCCTGTTCCACCACCTCTGCAGGTGACACCTCCTCACTCCCCCAGACCCAACCCAGTGCAGGGAGAGGGACAGGACCCAGGTTTGGGAACAGGCCAGGTGACACCATCCTTTGTCTCCGCAGGGTTATCGAGTACAAGGAGGAGAACCGCATGTCAGTGCAGAGCATCGCCATCGTCTTCGGCCCCACACTGCTGCGCCCAGCCAGTGAGGAGGGCAACATGGCCATGCACATGGTCTTCCAGAACCAGGTGGTGGAGCACATCCTCAACCAGTACAGCTACATCTTCCCCGACGGCTAGAATGCCCTGGGGATGCGCATGGGGGCAAGCCCCACAGTGGGGACATGAAGGAGTAGCATCTCAGGGGAAGGACTTGACCTTGTGTCACCTTGGATGTGGCAATCGTGGGCTCCGTGAAGGGCTGTGTGGGAGACGGGCTTGCTCAGGATGCAGCTTGAGGGATGGCTGCTGGAGCTGGGGGCACCCCGAGCACCCCATCCTCCTCTGCTACCTGCTCCCGCTGGGGCTGGACCCACAGAGGCTGAGCCCTGGGAGATGTGTGGAGTTTGGGGGGTCCCCTTTGGTCAATGGGGAAACGGAGTCATGTGGCACCAGTGACAGAGACCCAGCATCCCCGGCTGGGCAGTGCCTGTGAAGATGGTGCCATGGCTGGAGCCAGCGTCCGGCACAATCCCAATGCCATATTCCCAAATAAAGAGCCAGTTCAGAGGACAAGGCGTTGCTGGAGGGGCATGGGGACATCCCTGGGGATGATGGGGGCACCGTGGGGGCTCAGGGATGAGACCATGGTGGTGTCCTCACCACCCATGAAGACAAGGTGACCACGACATCCCCAGAGGAGGGAGACCGCAGGCCATGGTGGTGCTTTGGGGCACCTTTCCTGGCTGGCACTGCCAAACCCTGTGCCATGGCCAGTGTCCCCACAGAGAGCAGGGATGGGTGACAAGAGCAATGTGACCACCAGGACATGAGCTTCCATCACCCAGGGTCAGCTCTCAGGTGAAGACACTTTGGGTCATGATGGGAACAATTTGGGATACAAGCAGGATGGGCTGGGATGCAAGAGGGACAGTGAGGGACACAACTGAAATGCATTGAGACCCTGGGGAAACTAAAGGGCACGGCAGAGAAGGAGGAGGAAGATTTCGGACACTTTGGGATGCAGCGGAGTTTGGAGATGCTCTGGGGCACGAGGGGATGCTCCGGGGGGGGGCAGTGCCGGTTCTTCGGGGCACGACGGGGACACTTCGGGGCACGAAGCGGAGGCTCCAACCCCCGTGGGCCCCTCCGGGGCGGGGCGGGGCGGGGCGGGGGGGCCGGGCCGGGGTCCCGTCGGGGCGGTGCCGCTCCGGGGGCAGGGCCGGGACAGGGCCCCGCTCCGCGCCCCCCGACCGGCTCCATCTTGAGCGCGGCTGCCGCGGAGCTGCTCCAGGTACAGCGGGGCCGGAGAGAGACGGGGAGGTCCGGGGAGACGGGGGGGCGCGAACCCCCAGCGACCTCCGGGGCCGTACGGGACCCCCGGGGCCGATGTCCCCCCCTTAGATCCGTGCGGGACTCTCGGACACCACCCCCCCTGCAGCGGCCCCCCCCCCCCCGGGCCATGCGGGACCCCCATCAGCCCCGTGCCCCCCCCCCCTCCCGCAGCAGGGGTGCTCAGGACCAGGCACTGCCTCGAGCCACCAGCAGCTACCCCCCCACCCCCCACCCCTCTGGACACCCCCAATAGCAAACATCGCTCCCCGAGCCTCATAGGACACCCCCAGACCTTCACAGGCCTCCCCCCCCGGGGCTGTATCCCCCCTGCTCCGGACCAGGCACCAAGGGGCACAGCACAGAACCTGCTTTAGTGGCCAAAATCCCTCTTAAGGCATTAATCGCAGTGGGGGGGGGGGGGGGGGGGGTGGGTGTACAAGGCCACAGTGTGTGTGTGTGTGTGTGTGTGTGTGTGTGTGTGTGTGCCCCCCCCACGGCTGGGGACAGCGCCGGGCTAGGGGCAAGTGCACCCGGGCTGGGAATTTCATCCAAATCACCAAACCTGGCTGAACTTTGGATGGGATGGAGGGAGAGGAAGAGGTGGGAGCGGGGCTGGAGGGTCTGGGGGGGGGCACGTGGGACACACCCCCCGTGGGGGGGCCCAGGCATTAGTCACAGTGTAAAGGTCGGTGTTTGCTGTGCCCGGTGCGGAAGTGGCACCGTCGCTGTGTCCCTGTGTCCGCGGTGGCTCCCGGCTGGCAGCAGGTAGGGAGGGCGATGGGGGGGTCCTGTGTCCCCCACCACAGGGTGGACACCCAGCGGGGACCCACTGCTTGTCCCGTGCGGTGATGGGGGTCCCAGCGGCTCTGTCCCAGGCTGGTGTCCCCTGGGTCTGGGATGGCCAATGTCCTGCGGCAGGGACGGGGCTGCAGACCGACTGCTGCGTTGGGAGGGACCCACAGGGACAGGGCCTTGGGGTTCCCATAGGGACCAGGCTCTGGGAGTCCCTGTAGTGCCATACGGATGGGGGGCCAAGCTCTGAGGGTCCTGATAAAGACCAGTCTGGGGGGGTCCCCACAGGTCCAGGTTCTGAGTACTCCTAAGGATCAGGCTTGGGGGGTTCTGCACAGGGACAAAACTCGATGTTCCTGTGGTCCCATAGGGATGGGGTTTGGGGGTACCCGTAGCCCCACATGGCCCAGACCTGGCCCCATGTCACCATGGTCATGGTGCCAGGATGGGGGCAGCCCCCCAGGTACTGTGTCCAAATCCTACTCACGCTGCACCCAGCATCATCCCTTTCCCTCCAGTTCCCATCTGGAAGGACCCCCTGGGGCAGGGATCCATCTATGGGTGACACCAGGTCCTGGTCAGCGTTTTGGGGTGCAGGGGAAGGGGAGAGCACCTGTGGTGTCCCCAAGCCCTCCCCAGTCCCCCCATCACAACAGACCCCACTGTGCTGGGATGGCACTGGACGCCTGAGCCTCCCCCTGCCTGGGACCTGCCATGGAGACAGTTGTCATTGTGGCCATCGGGGTGCTGGCCACCATCTTCCTGGCATCCTTCGTGGCGCTGGTGGTGGTGTGCCGGCAGCGGTACTGCCACCCCAAGGACCTCCGGCACCACTACGACACCAAGTGAGTGACCACAGTGGTGGCATTGTCCCCGTCCCCAGCGGGTGAGGGGGTCTACAAGCCCATGGGCTGGGGACGGTGCTGGGACATGTCAGCATCACCAGGCACGCATCCAGCATCAGCAGGGCGTTGGAAGGGAGCATGAGGTGTCCCTGTCCCCAGGGATGTCCCATGTCCCCAACAGACCCATTGTGGACCTCATGGGGACTTCTGAGACACCATCAGAGCCCTCAGAGCTGGAGCTGGACGATGTGGTCATCACCAACCCGCACATCGAGGCCATCCTGGAGAATGAGGACTGGGTCGATGACGCCTCGTAAGTGTGTGTATGTGTATCCCACTGCTGGGGACCCCCATGCAGTGTCACCCCCCGTCATGGGGTGCAGGTAGCAGAGAGTTGGGGGTCACCAAGCTGGTCTCTGGGTGGGAATGTCCCCAAGGACCTGGGGCACATGGGGTGGGTAACTCATGGAGTGAGCCTGGATTCACACCCTCCTTCTCTGCAGGGGTCTGGTGTCCCACTGCATCGCCATCCTGAAGGTGAGTCCCTGTGGTGGCACCGCTGGCACCAAGTGCCCACCCTGGCCCCATTCCTGCTGTCTCCCCCCCCCCCAGATCTGCCACACGCTGACAGAGAAGCTGGTGGCCATGACCATGGGCTCGGGCACCCGCGTGAAGTCCCCCGCCAGCCTTGGGGACATCATTGTGGTGGCCAAACGCATCAGCCCCAGGTGATGAGGACGGTGCTGGGGCTCGGGGTCACCGTGGTGTCCCCTGGGGTTAACGGCATCCCATGGGCAGGGTGGACGACGTGGTGAGATCCATGTACCCGCCGCTGGACCCCAAACTGCTGGATGCGAGGTGATGACAGCAGCGGGAGGGATGGGGGCAGCCCCAGGGGAGAGGAGGGGGCACCCACGGGTGCCACAGGGGTGATCAGGGTGTGGAGCATCTCTTATGGGAAGCGATAGCAGGAGCTGGGCCTAGTTAGCTCAGAGGAGAGCAGAGAGGGGATCCCATCAGTGCGGGTGCCAGGAGGATGGTGCCAGACTATGTCCAGTGGTGCCCAGTGACAGGAAGAGCAGCAGCGGCCATAAACTAACACACAACAAGTGTCACCTCCACATGAGGGAGAGCTGCTTCGTACTGAGGGTGGCAGAGCGCCGGCACAGGCTGCATGGGGGGGTGCAGAGCCTTCCTCTCTGGAGACACTGAAACCCACCATGGGCATGTTCCTGTGTGCCCTGCTCTGGGTGGCCCTGCCCTGACAGGGGTTGGACTGGGACCTGGAGCTGCTGGAGCGAGGGCAGAAGAGGGCACGGAGCTGCTGCGAGGGCTGGAGCAGCTCTGCTCTGGAGCCAGGCTGAGAGAGCTGGGCTGGGGCAGCCTGGAGAAGAGAAGGCTCCTGAAGGGGAGACCTGAGAGCAGCTCCAGTGCCTGAAGGGGCTGCAGGAAAGCTGGAGAGGGGCCTGGGACAAGGGATGGAGGGGCAGGGCAAGGGGAATGGCTTTAACCTGCCAGAGGGGAGACTGAGCTGAGCTCTCAGGCAGAAGCTCTTCCCTGTGAGGGTGCTGAGGCGGTGGCACAGGGTGCCCAGAGAAGCTGTGGCTGCCCCATCCCTGGCAGTGCTCAAGGCCGGGTCGGGCCGCGGGGCTCGGAGCGGCGCTCCGGGTGGGGCAGGCCCGGGGCTGACCCCGTGTCCCCGCAGGGCCGCGGCGCTGCTGCTCTCGGTCACTCACCTGGTGCTCGTGACCCGCAGCGCCTGCCGCCAGCCCGCCGCACGCCACTGGGTCGAGCGCTCGCTGGCGGCGGCGGAGGAGCACATGGCGGTGCTGCGGCTCGCGGCCATGGCCGCCGAACCCGAGCGCCCGCCCGGCGCCGAGCCCCTGCGCCAGGAGCAGTCGGTCATGTGACCCGGCGCCGGGCGGGGCAGCGAGCGGGGGGGGGGTGTCCCCGCGGGGGCTCCGTGGCTGCGGAACATGGGGGGACCCGGAGGGGGTGGGGGGGGCCCGGGGTGAGGGGGATTGGAGGAGCTTGGGAGGGGAATTTGGGGAGGGTTTGGGGGTCCGAAGGTGGCTTAAGGGAGGTTGGGGGAGATGAAGGGGGGTGGTAGGGGATTGGGGGGGTCTTTGGGGTTTGGCTGGGGATTAGCAGAGGTTTGGGGGGTCTGAGGAGGCCTGTGGGGGTTGAGGGAGGTCCCGGGGGGGTGGGAATGGGGTGTTGCTGATTTGGGTCTGTCTGAACAAAGCCACAGAGGCTGGTTTGATTCTGCACCGGGGTTGAGAGCCCGTGGGCAGAGCTGAGCCTCATTAAACACAGCCGAGATGCCACGAAATATGTGTGCCTCCAGAGCTGCTTATTCTGCAGTGTGAATCCCAGGCCCTCCTTTACCAAAAGCTACTTGTGCCTCCCATTAGGTTCACACGTCTCCCCAGCAAGGGCAGCGGCTGCTCTGGGAGATGGAGACATTGATGAGTAAAAACTCTCCTGCCAATTCCACACTTGTGAGGGTGAAGGAAAGGCCACGCTTCCCTTTCCCGGTCACTGATCACAGGCATTGTCTCTACTTGTTCAATTCCCTTTTAACGTATTTAAATCCAAGGGAGCAGTTCCTGTAGCCACTTAACAGTGCAGTTTGTTCTCTCCCAAACCTGAGGGTCCCCAGGGGCTCGGCCTCTGGGGACTCTCCCCCTCAGTGAAGAGTCCTGGTCTGCAGTAGGTCAGCGACTCCAGGATCCTCCTTCCTCTCGGGGCTCTTCCTTCCTGGAATTCTTCCGCACTCGCCCCAGTTTCTGTGAACATTCCCTCTCCCAACGCCCCTCTGCTCACGGAGCAGCCAGCGCTGTTTCCGCAGGGAAAAGGGGGGGTTGGAAGTGGGTTGGGGGTGGTGGGGCAGGTTGGGGGGTTTAGGCGGGTGGCAGATGGGGACCGGGAGTTGGGGGGGGGGGTTGGAGGAGGGTTGGGGGGGCAGGGGGGGGGCAGGGGCGCTGTGGGTGGTCCGGGCTCAGCACCGGCCCCGGGGCCGCTCGGGGGAGGGGGGGTCCGTGCCCCCGGGGCTGAAACCCGCGCAACTCTTCGCACCCAGCCGCGGTGTGGCAGTGGTCATGTGACCCCCCCATCACGTGACGGGGCGGGGGAGTAAGGGGTAAGGGTGAGGAGGCGGGTTTTCCCGCCCCTTTTCGCCTAATGAACCAATAGGAGAGGGGCTGGTGGGGAGATGAGCCAATGGGGAGCAGGGGTGGGGCTTTGTGGCTGGTTGGCACCGGGACCGGGACAGGAACGCGGACAGGGACCGGGACCGGGTACGGGGGCACTGGGAGGTTCTGGGGTCTCTGCGAGTCACGGGGGCTGTGGGGGCACTGGGAGCCGTGGGGGGTCTGGAGTTACTGGGGGGCACTGGGAGCAGCGAGCCCCCTCCGCAGAGACACCCCCCCCCAGTAACACCCCCCCGTGACCCCTCTGCGGCGTGTCCGGTACCGGGGGGGCTCTGGGTCTGCCTCAGTTTCTCCCCGGTTTGGAGCCGGGGGGGCAGCAGCCTCCCCCTCCTTTTGGCCCGCACACGTGTGACAGGGCCCCGCCCCCACAGCTGCGGGGGGGGATACCACGGGAAAGAGAAGTGAAAGTGATCCTGGAAGTGAGTTACTGTGGGGGGGGGGGGGCAGCCCTTAGCACCCATCGGTACCGGGCAGGGGGGGCTGCCCGCCTCTGCCATCCCCCCCCCCGACAGTCTGGCTTCCTGTGCCACGGGGAGATGTTATCGGGGTGCTGCGGATGGTGGCTGGGGTGCCAGACACCGCAGCAGCCACACTGGGGGGGGTGGGTGCCCCCCCCCGTGCACCCTGGGGTGGGGGAGCCCTGGGTGAGGAAGGGGGAGCTGGGTTTTTTCCAGCATATGGCTGAAAGGGGAAGTGGGACCGGGGGGGGGCGGGGCCGGAGCACAGACCTGCTACCCCCCACTTTGTGAGTTGGAAGCTGAGGCATGGCTGTGCCGGCGGGGTTCTGCCACCCGCAGATGCCACCAGCGCCATGAGGACCCTCCTGCTGCTATTGCTGGTCCTGTCTGGAGCCTGCGCCTGGTGCCGCGATGGGCAGCTGTGTCCCTCCACCCCGGTGAGTGCCCAGGCTGAGGGGGGTCCGGCGGTGCCCCACCACTGGGTAACCCCCCCATGCATCCCCCTGTCCCCAGGTCCTGCGTGCCAGCAGTGCAGTGCCGTGCCGGGATGGCCCGTCCTGCCCCAGCACAGGCAGCTGCCCACTGCCAGAGGTGAGTCTCTGCACCATGCCTGTTTCCCCCTTCTCTCTGCCATTCTCAGGGGGCTTTTCCTCCTCATCTGCCCCCTTCTCTCTCCCCAGAGCGTCCTCTGTGCTGACGGCCACCACTGCTGTCCCCGAGGGTCCAGTTGCAGCGCCGATGGTGAATCCTGCATCACACCCCCAGGTAAGGGGGGGGCACATGTAGGTGGGGGTACACGGATGGGCCTGGGGGTGGACAGGATGGGACCTGGGGGTCCTTCACCCCATCCCCACTCTCCACAGCCCCTCACGCTGTGCCCTGTCCCGACGGACAGTCTGAGTGTCCCGATGATGCTACCTGCTGCGTGACAGCCAGCGGTGCCTGGGGGTGCTGCCCCATGCCCCAGGTATGGGGGGACACACGACATGGGGACATTGTGGGGGAGACATCATGTGGTCATTTCTGTGACAAGTGTCCGGTGCCCGCAGGCCTCGTGCTGCGCCGACAAGGTGCACTGCTGTCCCCATGCCACCGTCTGCGACCTGGCCCACGGGCGCTGCCTCTCACCCACCGGTGACACCCCCATGGGCACCACCTTCCCTGCCTGGAAGCGCCAGCCCCCGGTGTCAGGTAAGGGGTGTCCCCACCCGGGTGGATGGGTGCCCATGGAGGGGGACACGAAGGGGACAGGAGGACACTGTGTGCGTGTTCCCGCAGTCGCACTGCACCAGGTCCTGTGTCCCGACGGCCGCTCTGCCTGTCCTGACGGGGCTACCTGCTGCCAGATGTCCCCGGCGCAGTACGGCTGCTGCCCCCTGCAGAACGTGAGTGACAGCCGTGCGACAGGCACCCTGTGCTGGGTGCCCCACGCTGGGCACCCTGTACCAAGCACCCTGTGCCAGGCACCCCACACCAGGCAGCCCACAGCAGAGACACCCTCCCCCAGTAACACCCCCCACAGTGACCACCCCCTCCTCAGTGACCCCAGACCTCCACACCAGACACCCCATACTGAGAATCCTGTGTTGGGCACCCCATATCAGGTACCATGTCCCAAGCACCCCACACTGAGCACCCCATGGCAGCTGCCCCATACCAGCACCCTGTGCTGGCAGCCCATACTGAGCACCCCATGTTGGGTACTCTGTGCTGAGTGCACCATACCAGGCATGCTGTCCCCATCACCTCATGTCAGACACCCTGTGCTGGGCAGCCTGTGCCCTACCCTGTGCCATGAACCCCATGCTGTCAGCCCATCCTGTCCCACTGTGTCCCGGTGGGGCCCCAGTGCAGCAGCAAGGATGCAGCTCTCCCCTGCAGGCTGTTTGCTGCAGCGATGGGCATCACTGCTGCCCTCAAGGCACTGCCTGCGACCTGGAGCGTTCCACATGCACCTCCTCCGTGGGCCGGGAACCCCTCCAGGCGTTCCTGCCCAAAGGTGAGGCCCCCCCCATGCCCTGCCCCTGCCTGGGGAGGGGACAGCGGCTCTGAGTGTCCCCTTGTCCCCAGCACGTGATGTGAAGTGTGATGAGGAGACGAGCTGCCCGGATGGGAACACGTGCTGTCGGCTCAGCTCGGGGGCTTGGGGATGCTGCCCGCTGGAGGAGGTATGGGGGGGCCTGTCCCCAGAGTGTCCCCTGGGTGGGATGAGGGCTCATGTCCCCTGTTCCCCAGAAGGGACAAAGGGCTCATCCCATGGGGTTGGGGGGTGCTGCTGGACCCCCAGTCAGCCCCTGTCTGCTAACTGGGACCAGTTAGGGGTGGTGGGAGGTGATGGAGGGACACAAGGCCACTGGATCCTTGGAGACCTTCCTGTGCCCAGCGCTGGGAGGGTCAAGAGTGATGAGGGGGCTCCCATATCCCCTCACCACCACCCAAAAGTGTGGATGGAGCCAGGCTGGGATGGGGAGGGAACAGGCAGGAGTAAGCAGTTTGTCCTTGGGGTGGGGCAGGCTGGGCTCTAACCCTCCCTTTGCCCCCCCAGGCCGTCTGCTGCCCCGACCACGTGCACTGCTGCCCCCAGGGCTATACCTGCGACCCAAGTGCGGGCAGCTGCCTGCAGCAGGGGCGGGGGCGCCGGCCCTGGCTGCGGAAGATGCCGGCGCTGTTGCGCGGGGGGGACGTGCAGTGTGACGAGGAGACGAGCTGTCCCCAGGGCAGCACCTGCTGCCGGCTCAGCTCGGGGGCCTGGGGGTGCTGCCCGCTGGAGCAGGTCTGGGGGGACTGTACGAGGGTACAAGGGGGTGGGGTGGAAGGGGGGGGGGTGGGGTTTTTGGGGTGAGACCGTCTGGGAGGGGGGGGAGACAGGGACATAGAACACCCCCACCTCCATCAGTTTGCCCTTCCATGGGGGCTTTGTGGGCACCTTGGGGCAGGGCCCAGCACAATCCCTGGGGCTGGGGTTACATGTTACATGAGGTTGGGGGCTGGCCCAGGCTCACACCCCTTGGTCCCCCATATGCCTGCGACCCCCACGGACCCCCTCCGCCCTTGCCCCCTTCAGGCCGTGTGCTGCAGGGACCACCAGCACTGCTGCCCCTGGGGCTACACCTGCAACGTGGCCACCCAGAGCTGCGAGAAACTCCTGACGCCCACCTTGCTGCTGGGAGCACGCACTTCTCCCCCCTGGGCACCCACGCCACGGCCTGCCTCCCTGCGCGCTGCTGGCACTGACCCCTC